TGATACTGATCCAGTCGCTCCTAAACACTATCCCTTATCAGCTTCCATAAGAATCCAGTCACGGCCGGGCATAGTGGCTCACACCTGTATTCCCAGCACTTTGGGAGGCCAAGGAGGGCAGATCACGAGGTCAGGAGATCAACACCATCCTAACATGGTGAAACTCCGTCTCTACTAAAAATACAAAACATTAGCCGTGGAGGCACTCGGGAGGCTGAGGCAGGAGAATCGCTTGAACCCTGGGGGCAGAGGTTGCAGTGAGCTGAGATCATGCCACTGCACTCCAGCCTGGGCAACAGAGGCTGAGATCATGCCACTGCACTCCAGCCTGGGCAACAGAGCGACTCCATCTCAAAAAAAAAAAAAAAAAAAAAAAAAAAAAAAAAAGAAGAGAATCCACACCACCCATCTCAGATTTTCTGAATTTTGACCAAAGGCTTTGGAGGCCACTGGGTGCACCAGATTTATTGCAGCACAGCTCTGCTGTGATTGGAGTGCAATTTAACACCAGGTCCGCGTGCACGGGATGATGGGGCTGCCTACACTGTCATCACTGTGCACCTGGAAGGAGCAAATGATCTGCCAATGCTATTAACACTTCTTTTCAAAGTGATTTCAGAGTATAGACCACCTTAAATTGTAACCTCTTGAATTTTGGTGCTTTGTGTTGAATTTTATTCCTACTTTACTACCGCTTAAGGTATTTCCTGGTTTTAGTGCCAGCTTGAATTTGTAAGATTTCCTAGCATTAAATGATCAAAAAATGATAATCACTATCATTATTTCATCATCTCTCCTTCATCATGCTTTTTACTGCATCTTTGGTTTTATAATGACACAGTTATAAATGACACCAAGAAACTGATCTAAAATACATTCTGTTGCATAAAAATTAAGTATTTGGTTGTAAATTTAGGAAGGTTTAACAACTTTTTTACTAACTTAGTCTTCTAAATTTTATGTTTTTGAAATAATTTTGAATTTACATGAAAGCTATAGAAATAGCACAGGGCACCAGTGTATCCTACATCCTGATTCCCCAATTGTTAACATTTCTGAAAAATTGAGGGTATGGTACTCTACTGTCCCTAATACTTCAGTGTATGTTTCCCAAGTACAAGAACACTCTCCTATGGTAACCACAGGCAGCCATAAGAATCAGGAAATTCACGTGGACCTGGTGCTACCATCCAAACCACAGGCCCCAGTCAGATTTTGCTGATTATCCCAATAATGTCCATCATGTCCAAGATTCAATCCAGGATCACATGCGTTTAGTTTTTGTGCCCTTTAGTCTCCTTCAACCTGAATCAGTCACTCAACCTTTTTTGTTTCTCATGACCTTGACCTTTTAAAAAAGGTACAAGCAAGTCACTTTGTATATCCATTAACTTTGAATATCCTTCAATTTGGATTTGGTGATATTTCCTGATTTATGTGTGTTACACCACTGGAATGATGCTATGCTCAGTACATAGGAGCAGAGACACATGGTGTTAGTTTGCTCTATCACCAGTTAGGCTAACTTTTATCACTGGGATAAGATAGTACTTACCAGGTTCCTTCATTCTAAAGTTAATAAGTATAATGTAATTATTAATCAATGAGTAATTAAAAAGTACTTTGTGGGGAAATATTTTGAGGCTATGTAAATCCAGTTGACACCCATTATTTGTGGCAGCTATGTTCTACAAAGCCACCGTGAACACTGGATTAGCCTGGACTGAACTTTGCTCTTATGGGAGGTACAGGGTTGGGTTCCTATTACAACATAATCCTCAACGAATCAGTCGATACATGACCTTGCTTCATGTATCTTTCTGTCTAAAGACTCCTTATTTAATATATAGGGTTGATTCATTATCACTGAACTTATTGTCAATTGCACTGTAACTCATGCCTGAAAGAAGCTTATCTAACGTAAGTATTTTCTCCATAAGGCACATCATGGTCTTTGGCACTTTAGGAACCCTAGACAGCACTGCGGCACAGGGGATTTTAAGCAATGAGATCACCAACAAACAGTACAAAAATGCAAAACATGTGAGACAATGTATTATGGAAAGGACAAGAGTTTACAATATGACAGCAGAAACAAGAAAGCAGTGTCACCTTGTTCCACCTCAGCTGGGAATGTGTGCATTGGACGACTCAAATTTTTCTCTGGTCTGCACGTGACTGTGAAAGTGCTGCGAGTGTTAATTTTTGGGGTTACAAATACATTTTAGCAAGTAGGTGTCTTTGCAAATATGGAATCTGTGAATAATAAAAACCGAATGTATTTCATTCCTATTAGACTTCTGCTTACTGGTTTAGCATCTACAGAGGTCAAATTGTCCCAGATTGGGCCATTGAGAATCCTCCAAGCTGTCTTCTGTGTCCTTCTGACATGTCCTCACCATTCCATGAGCACATTTTTGCTTTCTTGTTCAACAAGATTTTCTAGGCTTATCTTGTATTATCTCTGCTCCAGTTGTAAAGTTAGACATTTTTTCAGGGAGCTCTGGTTCCTTTTAGTAGAAGATGGTTTTTAGAAACCAAGAATTGGGTGCTAGGTGGATGCATTCCTACCAGGGTGTCATTACTTCTAAGCCTTGTAAGCAGACAGAGAAGGACCTATATTTATACCTACATACAAACACACACATCCATGTGTCTATCTTCATCTAATCTATTTATCTATCTGCCTATCTGAACCGTGAATTCATACCAGTACCTCCTTCCAATCTGATGTAGAATGATCCCCCTTTCCATATTTGTAACTCTCTTCTTTGGCAGTTAGAAAACTGATTTCCATTATTTTCAATGTATTTATAACTTGCTAAGTCTCCTCCGTTGTAAAAAAATCAACCAGTCCCACCAACTAAAGGTACAACCGTGGATACTGTGCTCCCACCCCAACTCCTGGAGGGCTGTAGGCTGAAAGCTCAGCCCCAGTAAAGGAGATTGAGAAAGGTAGAAGAAGAGAGGAACTTAGAGTCGTTGAAGGTCTGAACTTCTGCTAATTCTTCTTAGATAACAGCAGACATTTTTAATAAAAGAAGAGAGAACCATCATGCATGTTTTTAGTTACGCTTGAAATGAGAAGGCTATTTTATCATGCCAAATGGCTATAGAAGAAAAACCCGTTCGATATAACTAGTATTTCTTAAAATAGTCATGTGATAGTATGTTAGTTTCTTATGTTAAAAATTTATTTTATATTTTTCCCAGATTTTTAGAGTCAACACATTGGCTTTTAATATACTGCTAAAGTTAATTTGAATCTTTAAATGTTGATAGGTAATCTTAACTTTCTAAGTTCTAAATTTTGGATATGACGTTTTAATTTACAGTGTTTACAAGAGGCTGTAGGATGACTTTATGAAGCACTTTGATTATGTTTTTTCTCTGGTGTGTTTATCCATGTAAAAAAATGAAGCATGGGTCTTAATTTTTTTTAATTGTTAATTTAAACTTTAAAAATTAAATTAAAATATAGAACATTAAATTTAGTCTAAATTTTGAAATGATGATAGTGAACAGTCTTTACTTTCTATGTTTCAAATTCTGGTGAATAGGAAGCTATGAATTATAGCTTTAATAAAAGTTCTTGGCTAATTTTAATGAAATGACTCATTATGTTGAAAGAGATAACTGTTCTGAGATGACTGTATTGCCAAAAATAATGCAGCTTACCTTTTCTATGAAGATACATAAAGATTATATAAATATACATTAATTCACATTCTAGGCATGTAAAAATACAAAAGTATATACACAATAATCTCCTTTTTTTCCTATTTCCCAATCTTAGTCCCATTCAGAGAACATAAACCCTTAATAATCTGGTGTTGTATATTTTTCCCAGATGTTTTAGAATCAACACATTGGCTTTTAATATAATGCTAAACTTAATTTGAATCTTTAACTGTTGATAGGTAACCTTAACTTTCTAAGTTCTAAATTTTGGATATGACATTTTAATTTACAGTGTTTATAAGAGGCTGTAGGATGAGTATGATTGAAAAGTATGTATTTGATCATATAAAATACATTGTTTTGATTTGTTTGATTTTTAATTAAATAGAATTACACACATATATGTACATCTATTTTGCAGCTTGCTTTACAAATTAATACAAGTATTTCTTGGAGTTCTTTCATGCCAGTACATACAGCTCTATTTCATTTTTAACCACTGTCTGGTTTTCCATTATATGGCTGTGCCATCTTTTATTTAAACATTTCCCATTGATGGAAATGTAGATTCCCCCCTCCTACATTTTTGGTATTATAAACTATGCTCCAGTGAAAATACTTGCACATATATCTTGAAAAATATAGATGGCAGGTTCTGTGAAATAAATGCCTAGACTCAAGGGTGAGGCTTTCCTTTCTTGGAGGCAGCTCAGCAGATGCTAAGCCTCCATCTTTTGGCTCTCCTTTCCCTTTGGAGATCTTTGTTCCCCCATTCCAGTACCTCAGAGTGTCTGAACTCATGGCCTCATTCTTTTAGCTTTTTAAACTGTAACTATTTCCTGTTTCATAATGAGACTTGACAATCAGAAGTACAACATCATGTAGATGCCCACAGAAGCGGAATAGCTACATCATAACATTAGTTGGGAAAAGTGGAAATTGTAATTGAAGGCTGCATTGCAGGCACTTTACACGTCTAGTGGACTTTGAGGTCTTAACAATAAATAACATTGTTTTAATCAATGAAGAAATGCAAATAATTCTAACAGTTTTTGAAATAGGAACTATCAGTTGTATGGGTATGCTTTTAGGTACTTTACTTAATTTCCATATCCTGGTTGAAAGTAAAACACAAAACAAAACAAAATCTATTTAGAGAGAATGGTTTCTAATCATCATCGGATCTTTCTATTTTTTTATCCTTTGGTGGCAAATGTTGCTGAATGGCTATTTCCGGTTCATTTCAAAAACAATTCAGTTTTATTTTGTTTTCCATCCATTGTTTATAACATTCATTTGTCATTTTTGTCATTTTGTAGACCTACCAAGAGCAGCTGTCAGGATCTTAAGCAACATGACATTCCTTTTTGTGAGTTTGTCATACACAGCTGAGAGTGCCATTGTAACTGCTTTCATTACCTTCATTCCCAAGTTCATCGAGTCACAGTTTGGTATCCCAGCCTCCAATGCCAGCATCTACACTGGTAAGGCACTGCCGCTAGGGCTGCTTGAAAACATGATCATTTTGACCATGAAATGGAATGGGTGAAGAGAAAGTTCAATCTAACATCGAAGTGTTAAACTAGTTCATTAACAGCTACCTTTCCCCCCAGATTTTAGAAGGAGGAAATCCTGGAAAGTGTTCTCTTTGATTCAGATTGTATTACCATGTGACACATTTCTCAACTGTGTTTTGGGAAGGGAGAGAATTTTGCATATTTATATTTACATGGTTCTCAGTTTAAAGAAATGAAATAGGCAATGACATTCAAATTTAAATCTAAATAGATCTTTTTATGGGTTGGCATGGGTCTTAAAGTGTTAAAAAAATTGATAACCTGAAATATAGATCTGTTTCATGGTAGCAGGATTTCCCCTTCAGAAATGTGAACAGATTTTATTTGAATTACTGGAGATGTGTGAAGTTAAAAAGGAAATGTATGAATTTTATTTTAGATACTGGATGTCTGGGCAAACTGATTTTTAGGAGACTTTGATGCATATACCCATAGTACTTAGTGTTCAAATCTTCTTTCATAATAAATTGGATGCTTAGAAATGTGGAAACATTAATTCTCAGATATTGGAGAAATTTTCAGTATATTGTGTAATATTCTAGATATTTTCTTAGTGGTATCAAAGATGGCTGACCATATCTTCCTAAAGTCTTAATTTATTTAATAAGGTATATTTCAACAGTTGAAGTATATTTAAATAGTGTAGAATTATGATAACTTTTCAGGTCACTTACACTCCTATGAGAATTAGTTCTCCAGTTCCACATTCAAATCCAGTAAACTTGAATTATCTGAAAATGAACAGGCATCACTGTAGAAAGAGAAATTGATTTGAAATATTTGAGTAATCACTTTGTTCTCTGCTTCATCTTATATGTATAAAGACATACAACATTGGGTTGTGGGTCTAGGATAGCACATGTTTTTATAAAGAACATACTGCTGTGGACTATTGTAATTGTGACTTAAAATATGCTTTTCTCGATCTTGGTTGCAAAAATATATGTTTTCCTATGTTGAGGTTAAATTTCCAGATTATTTTTTAGTTTAGTTGTGAGAAAATCTAAACCTTCCATTTGTAGTTTAACTCTTCCACCAACCCTTTGTTGAGCAATGATTTTTGGACAGGGAAAGCAAAAATTGTCTTGTAGTCGGATTCAAAGCCACACAGCTGTTAATTGTAGTCTCCAGCATTTCCCAAACTAAGTTTCAATATTCAAAGGTGTTACTGGGAAGACAGTTCATAATAAAATAAATTTGGAACTTGCTGAGTTCGACAAAGTATCATAGGATTCTTTACTGCAGGCCCTTTCATTTCCTTTAATATGCCGATATGCATTGTGAAACTTCCAGAAGACGACTCAGACTACAGCCTTTTCCAAAGTCATTTGACCATGAAACCCGATTTTTTTAGAGGCATCTTTTTCATAAACACAGTTCCCCAGGATACACATAGGGCACATAGGGAAGCCATACTGTGTGCCCCGGTTCCAGACAGACTAGGGAGCAGAGCTGCCTAGATCATCCCATTTCTCTGCAGATGCACGATTTTCACCCCCAGGGTTAGTGGGAGAGTAGTGCAGTGCTGAGCTGGGCAGGCACTAATGCACTTTGAATGCATACTGGCTAAAGTCATCTCTTAGTTACTGGTGGAGGCCGAGGCTAGACAGACAACTTGTGGAAAAACAGAATAAAGGGTTCAGCTGGAGCTGGGGTGTCGGCTGCAGACTTCCACAGTGGTATGGTTGAGGCAGTGGCCACTAAATGGGTCCCACTTGGCCAGGGAAGTGCAGGATTGAATAAGGCTAACTCACAGTGTTCATCCCATGGTCCAACGTCAGAATTAAAGAAGCAATATCTCAAAAATGCCACTTCCATTCTGATTTTGTCATCAGCAACTTTTGTTTGTTTGTTTATTTTGATCATAGTCAATGCAGTTTATACAATGTTTGCTATTCTACTTGTTCTGATAAAAAGCTTTTTATTTCCAGGTCGCATAATTTGTTTCTTTATAGATAGGCAACAAATAATAATAGTCAAGAGATATTAAGATTGATTAAGAGTAGAGGGGTCCTGTTAAATTGCAGTAAGATTAAACAGAGGTAATTCTTTTTAAAACTCCTCTTGGTTTTTTTCTTCTTCTCTTTTTAAATTTTAAGTTCTGGGGTGCATGTGCAGTATGTGCAGGTTTGTTACATAGGTAAATGTGTGCCATGGTGGTTTGCTGCACCTATTAACCCATCATCTAGGTATTAAGCCCAGCATGCATTAGCTATTTTCCCTGATGCTCTCCTTCTCCCCTCAATCCCACAACAGACCCCAGTGTGTGTTGTTCCCCTCCCTCTATCTATATGTTCTCATCATTCAGCTCTTACTTATAAGTGAGAACATGTGGTGTTTGGTTTTCTGTTCCTGTGTTAGTTTGCTGAGGATAATGGCTTCAAGTTCCATCCACGTCACCGCACAGGACATGATCTTGTTCTATTGTATGACTGCATAGAATTCCACGGTGTATGTGCACCACATTTTCTTTATCCAGTCTATCATTGATGGGCGTTTGAGTTGATTCCTTGTCTGTAGATAGTGCTGCAATGAACATACGTGTGCACGTATCTTTATAATATAATTATTTATATACCTTTGGGTATATCCCCAGTAATGGGATTGCTGGGCCAAATGGTGTTTTTAGTTCTAGGTCTTTGAGGAATCGCCATACTGCCTTCCACAATGGCTGAACTAATTTACAGTTGCACCAACAGTGTAAAAGCATTCCTATTTCTCTACAGCCTTGGCAGCATCTGTTGTTTCTTGACTTTTTAATAATTGCCATCCTGACTGGTCATGAGATGGTATCTCACTGTGATTTTGATTTGCATTTCTCTAATAATCAGTCATTTTGAGCTTTTTTCATGTTTCTTGGCTGCATGTATATCTTCTTTTGAGAAGTGTCTGTTCATGTCCTTTGCCCACTTTTCAATGGGGTTGTTTGTTGTCTTCTTGTAAATTTGTTAAAACCCCTCTTGGTTTTTTGAATTGTTATCAGTTTATTCATTCTTACTCTCTGGGCATAGATTTCATTTTTAAAAGAAATTTTAAAATTTGAGCTCTTTTGTTCTGTGAATCCCTTTTTTAAATGCATGTAGACTGACATGGGGAATTAAGAAATATATCTGAAAAAGAATTTATCATCTGACAAAGTTTTTGAGTTAAAATTCTCTTTTCACTTAAAAAATTATTTAGGTAAATACCCTGACCTTCATTGCAATTTGTTTGCATTGTGTTATGGATAGAGAGGAAGCACCAAACACCTACAGAAGGACTGGCCTTCTATTGCTCGCTCATTCACATTGCCATTGAATGCCAGCTCTGTGCACAGCGCTGTGCCTGGTGTGTGGCTGGGGAAATCTAAAGACTCACACCAGGGCCTTAAGTTGCTTACACATCTAAGAGGAGAGAGAAAACTTATGAAATACAGTAGAAAAAGCTGTCTAAATAAATTAACGGAAAATTTGGATCACAGAGATCATTTTGGCTGATGAGATAGTGTGTTTGAGTTGCATTTCATGGACAATGGCTTTTAACTAGGTTTTTAAGGGAAAGTAGAATCTGCCTATTTGGAGTTTGGAGAAAAGGTGTTTATTTCCTGTGGAGGACCAGCTTGAGCAAAGGCAAAGCAGCAGGGAAGGATAAAGCTTCCTCTAGTGGCAGAGAAGGGTGGAGGGGAGAGTTTATCCCTAGGTCAGAAATAGAGCTCCAAAGGCAAGCAGGTGCAGGATGGGAAATCTGCTCACGGACCTTCAGCTCCTCTTCTCTCATGCCATAATCACTTGAGGACGCTTGTGCCTGGCGGGAGGTGGTGACACCAATGTCTGATGAGGGCATCATCGCAATACCACAGTCCACCCCACTTCACTCCTCTGGTATAGTGTTTTTCCACGAAACAGTGGGTTTGTGTCACAGTGCACTCTCCCTGCTCATGGTCTTTCTGCTGATCCACTTGGGGTCATGTTTATCTCTTGAAACTAGCTAAATATTATGAAGTTGGTATTTTGGAGAAGCCTGAAATGATGGGAAGACCACTTGTATTAGTCTGTTCTCACACTGCTATAAAGACATATCCAAGATTGGATAATTTATAAAGAAAAGTGGTTTAATTGACTCATAGTTCCGCATGGCTGGGGAAGCCTCAGGAAACTTACAGTCACGGTGAAAGGATAAGAGGCACGTCTTACATAGTGGCAGGTGAGAGTGAACAAGAGCAGGAGAAACTGCCTTATAAAACCATCACATCTCATGAGAACTCTCACCAACATGAGAATAGCATGCGGGGAACCACCCCCATGATCCCATCACCTCCCACCTGCACCTCCCTTGATACATGGGGATTATGGGGATTACAATTTGAGATGAGATTTGAGTGGGGACACAGGGTCAAACCTATCAACCCTGAAGGAGCAGTTATACAGGGTGCCCTTGGAATCCATTCACTGCCAGTAACTAGTTGCATGACTTTGGTCAAGTCACTTTCCTCCCTAAATTTCAGCTGAAACTGGAGTTTATCTGTAACTTGAGGATAGTCTCTCCCCATCTCTCTCTATGTCAGCATTGTTGTGAGGATCAAATGAAGTAGTGAATAGTGATTTGTTTTGAAGTTTACTTAACTTTAAATAGGTACAACAATACAAATGGAAAAATACAACCTGATCATATCACAGTAAAAAAAATACTATTTATGATGATAGCACCTTACATCTGAAGTTGTGCACTTTGAATAGGTCTGAGGATAAAATCTCTGTAATAATAATGATGATAATAAAAACACTGCTGACATGTACTGAGTGTTTACTAAGTTCAAGGCTCTACCTAAGCAATTTTATATGGATAACATCATTTAATCAATTTAACTAATTGCCTATGAATTATTAATTATGCCAGTTTTCCAGATGAGAAAAAAAAATGCCCAAAGG